AAGTCACTATTTTCCCGCATCACCCGTTAGAACAAAGAAAATCGACAGTTCTATGAGTCCTGATGTCCAGTACATGTCTCAGTAATTTTTTTCTTTAACCCTTGAACACACATGACGCACCCGAATGCGTCATGCTACTGATACACATGACGCCCACTGGTTGCTCACGGTGAGTGCTCACGAGGGGGGAGGAGGATCACAAGAGGGAGTAAAGTCAGAGGTGATAGCATTAAGTAGAGAACTTTAGCAGACACAAGATATTATTTCATTTTATACAAAATTCTGGCGTATGACAGCAGCCAATTGTCCAATACCTGATGTGTTCAAGGAGTTAAGCCGGAAGGGGCAAAGAGAGAAAGAGAGAGGTGGAGGTGTGTGTGTGTGTGTGTTGGGGAGAGGGAGAGTTTGGTTGCTAAGCGGAAATTGATTCATGGAGGATTTATCTTGGAAATTTCTTGGCTTGGACCCTGGTACCATATTCATTAATATAGCTACCTCCACATGAGAAATGGTGCCAAGTAGATACGAGTCAGATCGGGCCCAAGTCTGTACGCTTGGATCCAAGTCAACTCGTGCACAAGCTTGGGCCTAATACTGATTTGGCATGGAAGAGACTTTCACCGTTTCACTTGTCTGGTCTATCTGGAGATATGAAGAAGGAAGTGTTCATGGTAACCGATGAAAATGTGGTGAAAGGCCAGGACTGGGATTTTACTGGAAAGTCTGATAAAACAAATTATATCGTCACAGAAGCATGACTTTTGCTTTTTAAATCTTTTCATGTGACTTAACTTATTTCTCCTATGTGCAGCTGAAGCGTGTTTTTTTTCCTGATTGTTCAAGCATGTTGTGGTCTTATCTGGTAAAATCCCCTTCATCTTAAGCGCTTGCAGAAACATATTCACGAAGGGCATTTAAGCTACCCGTAATAATTTCTTGTGACATTGCTCGCGTAGCCAGTAATTTTCAGGAACATACCCAATCCTGGTAGGCCCTACCTATTCAAGGTCAAAATGGTGTTGCTGAAGATCGATTCGATGGGATTGGTTGAAGTGACACAAATCCGCACATTCACAAAGCACCATTTAAGTCAGTTCAGAGTGAATTTTCTTAGTCACATTTAAAGAGCCAATTTTGAATGGAATGCCATAGTCCAACCTCATATGTTGAAAATAAATTTAACTATTGCTTCGTGCAATGCTTATCCTGGTGAAGTCTCCTCGAAGGCCTCATGGTTTTTTAAAATTATCACCTCCTCCAGACCATGCTTGTCCTCCTACTTCTGACTAGGTCTACTGGAAAACTGAGTCTCATAAGTTGAATCACAGCATCATAATGAGCTTGACCTGCTGAGGAATTCGATTTTCTTCATGATACAAAATGATGGGTGTTTTCTCGTGAGAAAGTCATTAGGGTAACTTAAATGATTGATTTCGACTTTGATTCACTTTGATAACATGATTTGTCATGAGATGAAGTGTGTTCCAGTGTGCTTGTCTACTTCTAATATTTTTTTAGGCTAATGTGTATGACTCAGATCTAAGAAAATATTTATTTATGGGTAAAATAGGTGGATCCGGACCTTGAGACATCTGAAATAGAAGTCTGCTTGAGAATTCATGGGATCATTCTAGGTGGAATGATGGTGAACCCCAAGAAGCGTTTCCCCAAAGTGGAGTCCCCGAGCGACTGCCTAGAAGCGGCGGAGGAAGCCACCGATTCGGCGGGCTTCCTCGAAGCGCTTCGAACTCTCGTGATCCGGCTCGTCCAGGCGATCGACGATCGCAAGAAGGACGAGGGAGACGAGCAGGACGAGGACGTGAGCCAGCAGGTGAAGCTCTACCAATGGGTGCCCCTCTGTCGGTTGTATGCGTGTGCCGCCATCTCGTGCCTGTGCCTGCCAAACGACGAGCACGTTCGGAGCTGGAAGGCTTGGATCGCGGAAATCTTTGAGGATGCCCTCGATCTCGAACGCGGTCGGGATGCACCGGTGATCCCCGGGTACTTTTTGCTTCTGATGGACAGGGTGTTGGAAATCGTGGAGACGGACGGGAAAGAGGAAGAGGTGGAAGATTACATGGAGGACATCGTGGCTCACTGCATGGCGGTGGCGCAGTTCTCGGACGAGGGGAAACGAGAGGAGATACGGAGTCGAGCTCAGAGATGCCTGAGTCTGTCCAAGAGCTGGATCGGTTCGAGGGATCCACGGTGTTCCCTGAAACTGTCGGATTGCCTCAAGGCGCTCGAGCAGGACGCGAACGCGACGCTCCTGCAGCTGATAGCCGATGCGTTCCACCGGAGACAAGGCGCCATCGATGCGATCGTGAAGCACGCGGTGGAGTCGGAGGTTCCCGTCGCGGAACGCCGCGTCTCGGACCTGCAGCCGCGCATCGCGGCCCTCGACGATCACACCGACGCGGTGTTCAATTGCCTGGCCTTCGCGGTGGCGTCCTCGGTCGACAGCATCCGCCTGGAGGCCTTCAAGGAACTCATGGAGAAGGTGGAGATGGAACTCGTCCCACGTGTCGTCGCTTATTATCTGAATCCTCGGGATTCCGGGGCGAGGCACATCCTTCGCCTGGTGCACGCGGCGTGGGCGGATCTCTTATTGCAGGTCTGGTCGTTGATCAGAGGGGTCGTCCATCCGGCTGCCTTTGCTCAGGTCGTGGATGCCAGCGTGAGAGGGTGCATGGTGGAGTTCCGGGAAACGCCTCGGTGGGACCTGGCACATAAAATCGGCTCGTTGGTGGAACTCGGAAGAGAAGTCTTCGGCGATCCGCCCGAATCCCTGCAGAGGGGTTTGGTGGAGCTCAAATCGTACATGAAGAAGGCCTCCGGGAGAGAAGACGCCCTACAGGAGGGATTGAGGAAAAGACTGCAGATTTTGGTCTCGGAATGGAGCGACTTCACTTATCGCGCCCTCCTGTCGAGCGAAGACGGAGAAGACGCCCACGCGTCGCGTCAGATCTCTCATCTCTACGTCACGACCGAGGTCGAACCGGGCGAGACCGAAGTCCTCGAGGCGACGAAGGGCCCCCCCGAGAGCAAGCGGATCGCAGCCACCCCACTGCGAGAGAAATCCCGGGTGTTCGTTCTCTCCGCCCGCGCGAAGACGCCCAAGACGCCCCTCGAGCGGAAGGGACTGATCGCGACGCTGCAGTCTATCCCGAGCGACGCGAGCCAGGGGATCTCGACCCCCGAGAGACTCTGGGATCTCCAGCTCGTCACGAGGAAGTTGATGCAGCTCAGACTCACCGACTCGTGATGCGACTCGCGCGCGTCTGTTGGACGGAATCGATGGGAAAGTGACTGAAAGAGTCCCCTCTGTGAACTCATCGTCTCGAATCTCTGGGAGCCCGGATATGCAGTTTTGTCCGGAAAATCGACTCGTTTCTCTCTTTGATCTCGTGCAGCCTGGGACCCGATTTGCAAGTGACGAAAGGAGTGTTGTGAAATGAGACTGTACAGTTCTTTTATGCCAACTGGAACGACTTGCAATGACGTCTGCGTCAAGGATACCCCCTGATCTTTGGCGATCGGGATGTTTTGCTGTGCTTCGTCTCTCACTAAATACCAAAGAAATCCGAAAATACATTCGTTTTTCCATGTTTTGTTTCCCCGTGTTTTGCTTCCTTGTTCACCTGCAGCGGTTCGAGTGCGAGAGATGAACTCTTCGCATGAGATCCTCGAGCGACAGGGTCCAGTTCGAAATTCCTTTGACTTTTCATCGAAAAGATGATCGCTAGAGACGATGCCGTTTCGAATGAGATTGGGAGATTTTGCCACGAGACGACCGATTGTTTCCATATATGATCAGATGTTTTTTTTAATAGTAAAAATTGGAAAAGTTCTCGATTGTGTTTTTTGTATAATTGTGGCTTAAGAAGATCAATTGATACATAAGATTGCATTCAAGAAAAGAAAACGGAATGGTCTCAGTTTGCTCAGTGGGAGTGGAGCAAGGCGACACCTTGCATTTACATCATGCATGACGTCGTTCATAACGCTAGAGATAGGTGGTGCCAGTATCGCATAAAGAGTTCGTTACTTTTTGGCAGGTGTCCACCACCGATTCCGCGGTAGCTCCGATTCGTTCTGACCGTGCTCCCGACTTGCGGTATCCTTCCGGCGACGCCTCTACCCGATGACACATCCACATGGCCAGCAGAGGCACGTGGATTCCAGGATCAGGCCTCGCCCTGTATGCGTGAGCAATGGCAGCTGGAGAGGCAGCAACACTAGCCTAACGTCGGGTCGAGTCCGCGGAGAGACGGAGATGGCGGGATTCGACGGACGAGCACCGCAGCCCAATCCGTACCTCTTCGAGATTGAGGCTCAGAAGAACAAAAAAGTAAGCTCATCCTGGGAGATTGGTTCGTTTACTTGGCTTGCATTAGATTATCTGATGTCTCCGTTTTAGGCCACTCTTGCCCACGAGGTAGGGGCTGGATCACCTTGCAAGAAATGTGAAGATAAGTGTCCTGGATTTGATCTCCATTATTGGAGGTGAGGACATAAATTCCCATAAGGATAATTTTTCTCATGCCTTCAGGCTCAGGCCTAAATATGGAATAAGTATCATGGTTCATTCTGGATTGCCTGGGATGGCGGAACAGAAAGATATGCCGGAACTGCAAGTGTGGGAAGGAGGAGCACGACGTGTATGAGGAAGTTCTTGTGGACCCTGGCTATTATCGCATCGGGAGACTCTTCGATCGACCCCTCAGGACAACCGAGGAAGAGCTGAAGTACAGCCATGGTAAGTGTCTGCTGCACCTGGATGTACACTTGTTGATTTCCTGAAAAATACTCCCAAAAATTCTATTTCTAGGAAAGGACCTACAAGTGGAAGATAGGAAGTTGCATAAAACCAGGAGCTTCAAGTTCGACTGGATCCCCCCCGGAATCACCGACTCTCTGGTCAGTCCTTTGTGACTTGATTGCATCCATTGATCCAGAGATGCTGTGTTTCATCTCTGTGGTGTCCCATGTCACAGGCAAGCAAGTACATGGAAATGCTTCCCGAATCTCACCTGCCCATCAGTGGGTCGGAGGGAGCTTTCGACAGACGGAAGCGTCTGTCCAAGCAGATCCCTGCCCATGACATGGAACTGGGGTCTCCTCATCAGAAGACTCCACATGAAAGAAAAATGTGTGTCTTGGGAGGATTAAAATGTAAGTTTATGAACTATAGGATTCTGTTGGAGAACTAGAGACACTGCTTTCTGCAGGCATGAAGAGTATCTGAGGAGCTTGAAGGAAAATGCCGTCGGTCAAGGGTCTGTGAGACAGTGCCCAGCTGCCGGTGAAACGTTGGAAAAAACTTTTGCCCATTCTCTGCACATTGAGGTAGGGAAACTCTTTGCTTTTGAAATTGTGAATGTCTTTGCTCTTGAATTCAAACAGAAGTTGAATGATTTCATGCAGGATCATGAAAAGCAGAAGGAGAGTGAACCGACAAAAAATGGTTTTTCGATGGGCTTAGATCCCGACTTCCCTCCGCCACCTTCTCCACTATCACAGGGAGTGACTGCTGATGTGGGTCCACAAGACATTGGATTGAAATGCTTCCAATGTCAAGAGCCCTTGCCTGCCGGAGAGGTGGCCGTGTTTGCTGAGAGGGCAGGACCGAATCGAGCCTGGCATCCTCAGTGTTTTGTCTGCTGTCACTGCAAGGTTCTCCTTCTACCAAATTTTTTTTCTGCATATTTATTTTTATAATGAGCCATGGACACATTATTTTTCCTGATGCACCAGGAGCTACTCGTCGATCTCATCTATTTCCATGCGAACGGTCAGATCTATTGTGGTCGAGATTTTGCCCAAATCTGTCAGATCCCTCGCTGCAAGGCTTGTGATGAGGTATCCATTTCATTTCCTGCTCATCTTTCTGTACTAGTGATGAGGGAACTGGAGTTGCTTATCTGTTTGGATTATGACTCCTTTGCAGTTGATCTTCTCCAAGATGCACACTCAAGCGGAAGGCTCGGCATGGCATACCGACCACTTCTGCTGCTTCCTGTGTGATCAACCCTTGGCTGGGAAGAAGTACATCCCTCAAGATGGACATCCCCACTGCCTCCCATGTTTCCAGGCCAGCTATGGCAAGGTACCCTGCTGTGTCTCCTTTTGGAGATTTAATTTTTATCTTGATTCGGGACTGAACATCTGATGGAAAGCACTTTGCTGACGTTTGCATCCGTAGCGCTGCGAGACGTGCAAGGGAGACATCGCTCCGGAAGGTCGCAGGGTCTGTCACAACAGCCTCAACTGGCATGCAGACGACAGTTGCTTCCGCTGCCACATATGTCAAACTTCTCTCTTGAATGCCCAATTCCTTTGTAGGAATGCACTCACCTTTTGTAGTCGGGAATGTGTTGCAGTTGCGAAAGGGAAGAACCTCCTCTGATATATTGTCTTCTCCATCCTTAACTCGATTCATGGTTCATCCTCTCAGTATGGTATGAATTCCCTCCATTCTGTACCGTGCATTTGCACATAGGGCAGCTGTATTATACATAACTCAATTATAGGCTTTGGGTGAAAATTCAGCTGTGTTGATTCCCATTTGTTTTATATGTGAGTGTGATCATATGTGGTTGTAAGGTCATTCCTGTCTAGTCAGGAAACCATGATGTGAGGTGCTGTCGAAGGGAGTGAATTTGTTCTGGATAGTAGATTCATTCCAGGGGGCTATTATAGCTTGTCCCGGTGAAATTTGCTGGAATGATTTCCCTTTCTTCACTCTTGGAAGGATGAAGTAAGGCTTTATACACAGTACAATTATACAATGATGAAAGCATTCCCTTTCATGCCATTCCACGGTGCCATGACATTGCAGTAGCCATTCTGCTTGACCTGTATTATTCATGACACCTGATAATACAGTGAACGGTTTGTGATTTTTCATGTGCCATTAATCTGATTGTATCCAATCCAAGGATATGTGCCAATTCTCCCTGTTCCGTTTTCTTCTAACGTATCTTCCCATTGGACCATTTCCAAATAAATCAACATCGTTTCTACGAAACGCAGTGAATCTGGTTTATGTGAACTCCGTGCGTTGCACAACGATTTTTGATGGAGCGGAGGAGCAGGTGGGACGAGACGAGTGGACCCCCATCGCGAGTTTTTTTTTTTTTCGAAAGGAAACAAAGCCAAGCCAGACACGAACCGGTTACACGTGCGTCATGAATGCCACGGCGATTGGAAATTTCCGTCCGTACGGATGCATTGACCCGCCGAGGAATACCAGTCACGCGGCACTTTTCGATATCGACTCACCCTATCTCCTCCAGAGAACGTCTTTCCTCTGGCGAAGACATCCAGCGGACGGGGAGGGAGTGAGGGCGAGCGAGGGAACGGCAGCCGGGGATTGGACGATGGAGGGAGGCGAGAGAACGGCAGCTCGGGATTGGTCCGTTGCCTTTCCTTTGTCAGCTCGGACTCTCTCCCCCGTTCCCTCACCCGGAGTCAGTCAGTCCTCCGCTCGGCTCCTCCCTTTCTCCCGCACTCGTCGCTCTCGCCCATGCTCCGATGCCTGGCATCCCCGTGCAGGTGGGGTGCGAGCGAGATCGAGAGTGAGTGTCCAAGTGTCTCGTCTCGCGGAAAGGGAGGACGAAAGCGAGAAAACCCTCGAGGACCACAGTCGTCTCGGTGGCATGCACGGTGACGGTGCTGACGCGAGGTCGAGGACGGAGGCAACGACGAAGGCCTAGTCGAGTCCTTGCAGTGAATCGAGTGATATGGCAGTGGTCGGGCCCCGTCACACGAGAACGAGTAACTTGATGGCCTTCCCGGGCCCCGCAGCACCGAACCCGCAGCCTTCGAATCCGACCGCTGCCGTCCTTGCCGCGAATCATCACGGAGGGTCCGCCTCGTATTTTCACAATAATTCCATGGGGCCACCCGCTTCGTCTTCGAGCAATTCCTCGTCGGCGGACCTGCAGCCGGATCGACCCATCGGCTACGGAGCCTTCGGGGTCGTTTGGTGAGGCTTTCTTTCTCTACCCTGTTTACGAGGCCACGCCGAAGCCCAAAAGAAAGGGACCCGTCGACAATGGCGATGGCATTCCTTTTCCTTCGGGCTATGGTCTTAGGCCTAAGACCCCTGCACCTGGCCCCCACGGCCCGTCCGACCCGAGAAGAAAATAAATAAGTGATAGAGAAGTATCCGCGTGGGTCCGAGGGGGAGGGGGGGGGGGGGGGGGGGGGGGGCCGGGGCTGGGGGGGGGGGGGGGGGGGGGGGGGGGGGGGGGGCGAGGAGAGCCGGAGCCGAGCGAAAGAGAAAGGGAAAATGCGCAAGGAGGGGGAAACTCTACTTAGACGGTGAAAAGTGTGACGAGCGGAACGTGACCGAATCGTTTTGGGGGTCCTTCAAGGTCGGATGGGAGGACGAGTCCGAGGGTGTCACCTATAAGGTGGTGCCAGAAGGAAGGGGAACACCGGATGAGTTATCTGGCGTGACTCAGAAGAGACAGAAGAAGGCGACCTTTGGACGCGAGCCACGAAATGTGGCTTTCTTTCTCGCTGGCCTGACCTAGACCCAGATGACAGGGCCTGACTGCCTGCCTTCCCGGCCTTGAGAGGGGGGGCCAGGGGGGGAGGGAGGATGGAGGGAGGGGCCGCGATCTAACTGGTTTCTCGCCGAGCCCTGGAATGGCGTTTCCGAAGGGGATTCCAGGTCGGAATCGATGAATGAGGGTTCGATGGGGGCTGGCGTTACGTCCACCGACTGAGGAAACGGGACGGGACGGTCTCTCTGCTCCGACCTTGTCACGTTTGCGTGGCTCATGGCTCGGGTCTCTCGCTCGTCGATACCTAGAAAGGGGCTCCGAGGCCATCGGTGGCAGGTATGCGTCGCAGACGGCTATTTTTCCAAGGAGAAGTCCGCGTTTAAAAATAAACATCACTCCGAGTTTGAGCCATTTCCGCGCGATACCGTCACACTCTTATCGAAGCGTAAGTCGGATGAGATTTAACGACGAGGGTCGTTAAGGCATTGCGGGGTTGGGCCGGATGAACTCGAGGGCCCATTACGACCGAACGATTTGCTTCGGGATGTGCGAACTCGTCGCGGAAGAAACCGTAGTACTGCGGATCGATCTACGGCGAAGCGGAAGGGAACGGCGACGCGCGGAAACGATGACGTCGACCGGGAGATGGCAGCACTGCGGGAGTGGAATGCACCGACCGTGTCGCGCGATTCTTGGGGCGTGTCCTGCCGTGAACGGGGATTTCCACGCGATCTTCCCATGCGAAATGGATTTCTCCGTTTGCGGAAGAGACGATGAAGATTCCCTGGCTGCCTTTTGCTCTTTCCGGCTTCTCTCGGGGACGATCTGCGCGTCGAGAGAAAGCCCTCGACCGGGAGGCGACGTGTCGTTTACTGCGACGATAAGGTCTGGGACGTGCGGTCGAGGAGCCCGTTTATAGAGACTCGGGAAGCAGTTCGTGGTTCTTGCGTGTCAGTTGCACGTACGATGGGAGGAGTCGAGGGGGGGGGGGGTAAGGGGCTCGTTCATCTGGCGTGGTGCCCTTGGGGGGGATGCTGGATGCCGGCTGGCTCGGTTCATCACGTCCACGCCGGTCGCGTGCAAGGGGGGCGTTCGCTCCCCCGTGAGATTCCGAGCGGGAGTTGCGGGACCGAGGCCGTTAGTCCGAGGTGGAACGAGATGGGACGCAGGGGAATTCGGAGGCGTTATCGTCCCCCGATTTCCATGGATCTTATCGAGCGTTCGCGGAGGAGAGGGATCGGAGGGGGAGAGGGATCGTCGTTGCGGATCGGCGCACCGTGGCCGAAAGTCCCGAGAGATAGTTCATTATTCTCGTCGATGCCGATCGGCGAGCGTTCGTGACCAACGTAGGTGGCGCGCGAGGAGCGAGAATCGCTTCCGCCGACCCACGTCTCTCGTGCCGAAGACGGCTGTCGCCCGCGAAAGGCGTGACGAAGTCGGATTCGGACGGGAGAGTTAGTGGTTGTCGGGAGGAGGTCGGATCGGGATGGAGGAGGCCGACTTCCCCCCGGGACGAGGAAGTGGTCGTGGGACGATCGTGCGTCGAGCGACCGTGAGCCTCGCGAAGGATGATTCCGGACCTTCGTCCTTCGCGGTCCGTTATGCATCGGTTTCTCGCGCGCGGCGAAAGGGAAAGCGGACGAAGAAAAAAAAAGGGGAACGATGGCCTTGTTCGCCCCTCGTTGGCCCCCTTCGCTTTGTCTCCTGTCGTCGCTCGAGATGAAAGACCTCGTCTCGGCAAAAAAAGGTTGCAAAAACACGAAATGGGAGCAGGGAAAAAAAGTATTGGAATGAGTCTGCTGGCCTGGATTCCTTTTGAGGCGCATTATGGCCTCGTTTTTCCCTCCGGAAGCCAAGGCCATCGACTGGGTTCGCCCCTTCGGGTTGCGTCACGACCGTCGATCCCGAAATCCGCGGCGACATCGACCGCGACTCCCGGCGTGACGGCCCGACAAAGGCGGGCGATTCGCTTCCTGCTTTTCCCTCCGTCCCGTATCGAGACGATCTTTTTAACGGGGGATTGTCTCCGAAGGGAAATGAAGCGGGGCGAAATAATGGGAGAAATGACGAAACACCATTGTCTCTCGCGAATTCACCGAACGAAAAGTTTCCCATACGAGATCAGAATCGGAACGACTTTTAAATTTTGATCTTATTTTATTTTATTATATATATTTTAAGGACTGGGGAAAGTGGAAGCTTCTTGGGGAGGCCTTCATCCTGCAGTGGATCGAGAAGGGCCGATGATGATGATGATGATATATATTTTAAATTAAATTAAATTCTTTTTCCTCACAGGTCGGTGACGGACCCGCGCGACGGCCGCCGCGTGGCGCTGAAGAAGATGCCGAACGCCTTCCAGTCCCTCGTCTCCGCCCGCCGGGTCTTCAGGGAACTCAAGATGCTCTGCTTCTTCAAGCACGACAACGTGGGTCTCCACGCCCCCCTTTTTTTTGTTTACTTCTACGGAGTTGTTAAAAGGTCTCATGTGTCGCCCGCAGGTGGTGTCGGCCCTGGACCTCCTTCAGCCCCCGCCCATCGACTTCTTTCAAGAAATGTATCCTTTTTCACGCCCAAATGGGTTTAAAAGGACGGAAGAAACCTTTTTAGAAATCTCTTTAGGACAATATTGGCTTTTTTTTTTGTCCGTTGCCCCGAGCGTCGAAGGCCGACCGGATCCCCCAACGATCGCGATGTCGATAACGATCACCGCGCAATACGGATCCTCGAAGGCAACGCAAGAGGGGCGGAGGCCCTCGAAGGCGGCTTCAGAGGAGCCTTTCCGGGCCCTCGACGCCGACATATTAGTCCGACTCCCGATAGTCGACGGTGGAAAGGGGGAGGGAGACAGGAATCCGATGTGTCTCGAGAGAGGGAGAGAAAGAGAGGATACGTTGAATCACTGCATGGGGGAGGGGGGGAAAGGGGGGGAAGTTTCACATCTGTGCATCGTTCTCGTATTCCTCCCCTCTCCTCCCTCACGCGGAGGACGGGGTGATGCAGAAGGCGAAACGGTTTTTGCTCCAAGGATTTCGGTGAGAAGGGGGGCGGGAGGGGGGAGGGGAGGGGGGGGGGGGGAGGACCGGGATCGGAGGACGACGGCTGGAACCGGTTCTCGCGTCTTTCGGTGCGCGACCGTGAACTCGTTCCACCTCTTTCTTCGATTCGGATTGGGCTGGGGACTGTGGGCTGTGGAGGGAACGTGGGGGCCTCCGAGGCAAAGGCGAAGGAAGCCGTTTGAAACGCGCTCGGATGTGAGTCACGGGATTCAGGGAAGCTTCCCTCTTCCCTTATTTAGAAGCACTCGGACACATGGCAAGTGGGGAGGGAGGGAGGGATGGAGGGAGGGAGATTTAAAAGAGAACTCCCTCGTGGTGAGGCCCCCCCCCCCCCTTCCCCCCTCTTTTCCCCCCCCCTTTTCCCCCCCTTGCTCCCCTCTCCCCTCTCGGTCCGTGATCGATTCATCCACTTCGTTGTTTCCCACGCCCGGTCAACGGTCGGTGAACCGTCGGAGGGGGAAAAAAGGATCTTTTCCCCGAACGAGGAGGATGCGACGAGACCCGCACGGCCCGCCCTCGGGGCGAGAGGGAGAGAGAGAGAGAGGGGGAACCGACGAACGCATTGTTAACAGAGCGTGGCGTTGCGTGTGCATCTGGAGATGGAAAGGAAAAAAAAGAAAAAGGATCTCGGTCTTCGTGTTATATGGGGGTGTCGTTTCCTCTCCGAGTGCATGCGTCCGAGCCGAAACGGCATCGCGCGATGTGGTCCCCGCTTCTATGGACCTTGGCATCGAGCCTCGTTTTTTTTTTATTATTCTATCATGGCGATGGGCTATTTAGATGAGCGAGAGCTTGCCATGGCGTGCTTTCGAGCGATCGAAGACGGGCAATTTGCGATCCGGATCCGGTGCGATATCGGCTTTACGGAAGTTCCGCGGGCCGAGTCGTTCCGTGCAGCGAGAGGCGGAAAATGCAGAGCGAATGCGTCGGAGGCGTCGAAAGGGGGAACGAGACATCGGATCCGGTATTCGCTCCCGTTTCTTTTTTTTTCTGACGTTGCCGAGTGCGTCGTGATCTCGGCCTTCTAGCCGCACGTCCATTCGCGGAAAAGGAAAACGCGTCCGTCGTACATGGTTGGGTTCTGCGGCGAGGGGGAATCCGACCTTCGCGAGGAAAAGCGCGATTCGTTCCTTTCTCCGGGGGAGAGAGGGAACTTTCTCCCGGTCGGTTTCCGCCTTTTACTTCGGGCTTTCGCCGGGCGTGAAGGCGGATCCGGCATCACTGCATTCGCGTGAAAGCGGATTCGGCATCCCCGGTCGCGACCCAACGTGCGGAACACGTGCTCCACCCTCTTGTCTCTCTCGTCCCCCTGCCACCGCACAGGTGGCTCCTTCCTTTCTTTCTGCCGTTCCAAACAAGTCAACCTCGCCCCCCCTCCCCTCTCGGTTGGAAAAACAGGCGAACGAGGAAAACCGAAACCTCTGGGCGCTCCTTTCACAGGGAGGGAGGGGAGAGTGAGTGAAAAGAAGGGATCCATGCCCCCATTCCATGGGAATGACTTGAACGAGCCCCCAGACGAAGAGATAGGCATCAGGGAGCCGTGATTTCCTCTCTCCTGCATCTCCGGTACGGATCGTCGTGCGACAAATATTCCAGTCGAGAAAAGTAGGAGAGAAACCGGCGTTCACTCTCCTTCTCGAAGGGACATGACTCGCGAGACCGACTCCTTTGTGCGAGGGCATCGCCAGGCCGGGGAGGGAGGAGAGGAAAAGAAAGAGAAGTAGGGAGGGGAGGGAGGGAGCCGGAGGCCTTTTAAAAGGAATCTCTCATCTGTTGGGAAGGGGAGGAAAGGGCAGACCCCCCCTCCCCCCCTCTTTCCCCCCGGGCGACGGCACTGCTTTCCCCCCCCCCTTCAGTTCGTGGACTTGGGCATTTACCGGTCGATGGGGTCTTCTGTCTAGTTTTTTCCTCGCTCGCACCTGCACCACTTTCTTCTTTTTTTTTTTTTTATTCCACGTTTCTCGGTCCTTTCTGTCGTTGATGGGGGCAGGGTTCCTCCGTCCCTTCTCGCCAGCTGGTCCATTCCACACTTTTTCTTCGATGCGCCGGATGGTGGTAATCTGGGATCATCGGAGGGTGGGGTTCGTCCGAAAAAAGCACCGGTTGGGGTGAAATTCGGCTCTCTGGGTCGTCGAGGAGTTCTAGATAAATTTATGAGGGCTAGCTCCTTTTTTATACCGCCACATGCCGCTTCGATCGCTCCTGTCGTCTCAAAAATGATCGGAGTGATTTGTGGGGGTCCGACCAGAAGCTGCCGCGACTCCATCAATAACGTTCGGATGTGATGGACCCATGACGGTTCTTACTTATGGAATGTCTGATCGAATGGGTCTTGGAACGAGCACAATTAATAGTCGCGTGTCAAGGTCAAGGATCGAGGTAAAGTGTGCCAGATGGGCCGCCCCCCCCCCCCTTTTTTAAAACTGGATTCGCGAGTCGTGGTTTCGGAGCCAAGAATCGGTGATTTATGGGCTGGGGTCGTGTGACCGAGGAGATTCCTTGACGGCCGAGGGTGTCTCCCCAGATACGTGCTGACGGAGCTGATGCAGAGTGATCTCCACAAGATCATCGTGTCGCCACAGCATCTCTCCTCGGACCATGTCAAGGTCTTCCTCTACCAGATCCTTCGAGGTGATTAGACGAAAAGGGAATGGATTTCGTGCGGCTGTTGGTTTGAGCGAGCGTGAGCGTGTCTCTCTCTGTCCCCCGCAGGGCTCAAGTACATCCACTCGGCGCGGATCCTCCATCGGGACATCAAGCCGGGGAACCTGTTGGTGAACAGCAACTGCGTGCTCAAGGTGGGTCGCGGGAGGTGGAGGTGGGGCGGAAGTGGAGAACGGGATGACGATCTTCTTTTTTTCTGGCAGATTTGCGACTTCGGGTTGGCGAGGGTGGAGGCGAGGGACACGAGCATGGCGATGACTCAGGAGGTGGTGACGCAGTACTACAGGGCGCCGGAGCTGCTCTTGGGGGCCAGGTACTACACGACGGCGGTGGATATCTGGTCGGTGGGATGCATCTTTGCGGAGCTGCTCGGGAGGAGGATTCTCTTCCAGGCGCCGACGCCCATTCAGCAGGTGAGGTGCTGTCTCGAGGGAGAAACGAGTCACCTGTTTTTGGTAAATATATTTTTTTTTTGGGAGAGGGGGAGAGGGAGACACTTTTTCAACCGGGGTCGATTGTGCGAGGTGACGGTTCTGCCCTTTTTCGTTTTTGTTCGTGGGGCCGAGCGTTCCCTGTGGTTCTGTGCGTGGGAGTCCCGGTTTTATTTATGGAATGACTGTTCTAGAAAGAGGCAAAATTGCTGAACCACATCTCTGGGAAATGGGGTCAAGGATTTGAACAATGAGAGCAGATTTGTGGGAAAGACACGAAATACCTGTCCTGTAAATAATTTTTATTTGGCAACGCCCCGGTTGACGAATGAAACGTTATCTCAGGCAACAGAGTTTTTTGTCCTATATTTCCATGTCACCAATGTCTCTGAAGAACCAGACCCCCTGCAGTAGAGACGTAGTGTCTTGGACTTCATGATTTGAATTGAATCAGAATCAATTTGAATTGATGCAGACGCTTGTTTACTCTTGATGAAAGTGAACTTGAACTAGTACTAAATACTTTGGGCCAGAGGTTTATTGCTGCATTACCTGTCGGCTGGCATGATGCCAATTTGGAGTACAGAAGTGAGAAGGTTTGTGAGAATGTTTTCCTCCAAAGTGAATGTTTTGGAGGAATCTAGTACTGTGCTTTCCAGGTAATGCTACTCATATTTTGTGATCATGGATCAGAACTTGGGTCTTCCTAGAAGGGAATCTGCACATCAGTTATGATGCTAGAGTCACATATTGAGCTGCACTGGAAGCGAGAGAAATGGTTCCTGAGTCACACCCAACGCCTGATCAAACCCGAGACTAATGGTCGGGGAACCCACGTAGGTGCAGAGAAGTGCTGCCAAGTTGCACGTGTGCCCTCCTTGCAATGAGGAAAAGAAGCAGTAGCCCCATGTTCTTAAAGTGCAGCCTCATCATGTTGCAGAGAGAAAGACACAATGCAGGAAGCTCTGTGAGTGCCCCTAAATGGAAGAAACGTGAAAACAGACGCGAACGTCACGAGACGAACCCGAGTGATGTGGAGGGTTGGAGCCGGCAGCTTGCGGCAAAGAGATGTTTAAGTGTGACCCCTGGTATGCAAGGAATTATTTATTTATTGCTGCCATGATTCTCTGTTGTTTTACTATAATGGAAAGCTACAGATCCCTTGGTTGGCAAAGAATATGAAGATCAATTTCCAGTATTACTGGGAACAGGTTTTGTAGCCAATTTTAAGCAAATAGATCCCCCACCCGCGCAGACCGGCTGCTCAAAGCATAGGACCCCCAGCGATTCGTTAAGTTGCACTCCATTAGTTGCCACCTGATCGAGCCAATGGAGGAGCCGCTTGTGTAACAGCTACACAATTTGTGGACATTCCTGTGCGACCCCCAGAAGATCACCAAATGGACTTCTGTGCCTTCAATTTGCTGAAGCAAGCTCTAGGAAATCGTCCCCTTGGCCTCTGGATGTTTTCTAGAAAGTGTTGGGGGGGGGGGGAAGGAGTGGGAGCATCTTGATCTTTCTGTCCTTCAGAGTAGCTTTACCAGCTCGGAAATTTCCATTGAGGTCTGATGTCAAGAACAATGCATATCAGGTTGAATCATGCAAATTAGTTCCCAGAAATGGAAAGAATTCGTCTGTGTCTGTCTTTCCCTTTGCCATTCAAACATTTCCTTTGCTGTTGATATTCTGTTCTTTCCTCTTTGTTTTTGACTGAGGTAATTTGCAATTTCTGAAACTAGTGCAATTCATTGTGAATCTATAACTTAGCACTGCTAGAATGTGCCCACCAGCAGGTTTATTCGTAGTTATTATATCACATTATTTTGGAGCATCAGGGAGTTGGCTGTCCCACCCTAGTAAAGTTGCAATGTAGTAATCGTTTTTTTTCCAAAGAATTTATCTATCCAGTCTGGAATAATAAGTACTCAATGATTGATTACTGAATCAGCCAAAGTGGTTATTAATGTAAATATGAAAGCTTCATTTTATTCTAAGGTTTTCTTTTGTCCTCAACACAAATCAGATTAGCCTTGCAGCCAGCCACAAGGTCAGTTCTGATTGGAGACATTGAATGCTAAGGAGAAATTCATTATTTTCCTGCACTAGTTATTTATGGTATAAGCTTCCTATAACCATTACCCAACACATCTGGTATGTGGCACTCTGGCAACTGACAATTTTGAAGGGTGAATAAGTACTCTACCTTTGAAATTCCATGGTTATTTTTGGATTTTTTCCTTTGCTGTTCTATATGCATTCTTTCAGGCTGCTATAAGATAAGTTGATGAATTAAATTGTTCCTTTTAATTATGACTATTAGAGCAGATGTTCTCCATCATTAGTTATGTATAAATTGACATTAATGTCACCTTGTATGCATAGGTTGGGTTATGGACTGTATCCATGAAAGCCTCAAAACTGAAACACAAATATCAGTTAGCTGGGATCAGGCAATGTGGTGATATCACTAAGTGTGCTTGAGTGCTTGTCTCAAAAGTTTGACTTCTTCCCTGTCTCTTTAGACTTTGGAACTTTGTATGTTGATTATTTTCTTATTGTGTTTATTAGTAGTCTGTAAGAAATATAATGTTTTATATTCTTGAATTACCCTTTGGTTGTGGTCGATAAGAATGGCTGGTTGTATGCTGAATACTTGTCTCCCCCAGTTGGAGATGATCACAGACCTGTTGGGGACCCCAAACTCAGGAGCGTTGAAGTGGGCCTGCGAAGGAGCCCGAGCCCACATGCTGCGGCAGCCGCTGAAGCCCCCTGCCCTGAGTGCCCTCTACACGCTCTCACCTCAGGCCTCCCACGAGGCTGTGCACCTCCTCGCCCAGATGCTAGTCTTCGACCCGGAGCAGAGGATCTCATGCGGGGATGCGCTGGCTCATCCGTACCTGGACGAGGGGAGGCTGAGGTACCACGCATGCATGTGCACGTGCTGTCGGTCCACGCCGTGCGGAGGTCGGCACTATGCACCTGAGTTTGAGCCCGTCGCCCCCATGCCATTTGATGATGCTTGGGAGCGTGATCTCACCTCTCTACCTTCTGTCAAAGGTGGGTGGCTCTTACCTCGTGTGATGACACCACTGTATTATGCATGATAAATATCATCAAGTTGTTGTTGTCATCTAGAGCGCATGCACAAGTTCATCTCCGAGAGGTTGCAGAACGGGAAGGTACCACTTTGCATCAACCCGCAATCTGCTGCCTTCAAAAACTTTGCCAGGTGAGCCTCCCTGTCCTCTTGGGCCGACCAGACCCGTGGTTTCCATCGGTTTCCATCCTGCACGAAGGTCACCCGTGGCATCCGTGTTTGCAGCTCCACGGTGGCACATCAGTCGGAACTGCCGCCTTCACCTCACCAGTGGGAATGACACGAAGCCTCGTCCCTCCATCTCTCTCATCTCGTCCAAGGTGGCGTCCGGCGGCGAGGCGGAGCGAAGGAGTCCATTCAACCATTTGAACATGTGTGATAGACTTCATCTCAGAAGCGAGGAGGTTTCTCGACGAGCGATGTCACTGCCATCTGTGATTGAACAGTCCAAAACCACATTTTCCTCATCCTTTTTCTTTCTGCCTTCGTCTGTCCCTCGAACTGCAGACGAGAGATGCGTTCTCTGGCAATCCATGTCTTTCAAGTTTTTGTTCACAGTTTTTATAGCTGCGTCTGCATTCATCTCCTCTCGTTTCTCTCTCGTGCGGCATGCAATAATCGACGGGATGGCTCGGCGATGCGGCACGGCGCAATGCAGCGACTCCGTGGTCGCTTGTGTCCCCGTGCCGGAGGACTGTGTACGTACTGGTTCCGTTTCGTGCAATGTATTTAGGAAGAGTCCTTTGTACTCTGTGTATTGGTACAGCTAGGCAGTCTCAGGATGAGACCAAAGCTCAGGCACCCCATTGATGCGTCCCAGGTCCGTCGTTTGCTCATTCATGTCCTTTGCATTCCCGTGGTGGGGCTCGATCCCACCGATCCGTGACACGCGTCGAGACGGCGAACCCGGGGATTCCTTCCGTCAGTGTATTTTTTCCCATCGTCACATCTACCTCGGAAGCGACGGTACGTATTGTATTCTCCAGGGGCGGATCTTCTCGGACGGCTCGAAATTCAGCATCTCGGGTCCCAGAGGTTTTCCGTCTTCTTTCGTTTCACCGACGCCTGGACTTGTAACAGTTGTGTTTCATTTATTTTCAAGTGGGATTTAAAAAGAACAAGTGGATCTCAATGAGGCTTGTCATAGGGTGCCTTCTTTTTTTTTCTTTTTTTTTTTAATTCCAGGCCTGGCGTGGAAAAACATTTTCTCGTCTGTTTTTACTGTTATGGAGAATCCATTATTTATGACAGAAGGAGTCTTTTGTGCTGTGCGTGTATATATGAAAGGGAGGTCCTTTGGCAGTGTGTACTTTGCCAAGCAATCGAATAAAACCGTCATCCCCTTTTCTAAATCCTGGTCTTTTTTGGCAAACCTGACGCTCGCGTGTGATTTCAAGCGCATAAATTTTTTTAATATTTAATATTTTTCCTAATGTTTCTTCTTGGTAGAATGTTTTAATATGGGTAAGTTATTTATCATTATGATGTTAAAAAACGTATATACAACTAGTGATTAGAATATTTTGGAACTGCTTTATTCTGTGATATATGTCACTTTTTATGAGGATCTTCCATTCCGTCTTGGAGTGCATTGGCAGAATTTCTTGGTACTGTAATCAGATGGTGTCTCCCGCTTGTCACTATCTCAGGAAGAGGTTTTGAGGCCTCCAGTGGCGGACCCAGGTCTACGACGGCTTTTTTTCACGTGAAATTTGTAGTTAAAAATAAACATTTGATGGAGTTGAAACCATTAGCATGTGATGCCTTCATCTCTGAGGTGTCGCACGCCACTGTGTCCGGAGCCCTCATCCCTTTGTCGGAGATGACAGATCACATTTAATCATCTCTCTGAGGATTAGAAGTGTAGCAAGGATGGGCTGGATACACTGTAATTGGTTTCTTTTCCCAGTTTCAAAATTTTTTTAATGGGTTCAAATCTCGGGGAGAAAATGAGTAATGAAAGACTCGAAAAACCAATTTATGTGTGCTAGGAAATCAAGGAAATGAGAGGAAGCTGGGACGGTGAAAGGCATTAAGTGAATGGTTCTGTTCGCTCAAGGTCACGCCTGTAACCGCCGATTCAGGAGTTAAACCTGAGTAAAATGGCTGGTGGGTCGCCGGAAGAGAAATGCTTGCACTCGGAAAGCTCCCAAACTGTACTGTATAAATAGGTCATCTCTTGCCCATATAACGTGATATTGACGGTTGACATGATCGTGGGTCATTCCACATGACCAGCATTAGTTCTTTTTATAATAATTATTTACAAATATTATTTCCTGTATTTCCTCGGTTTCAGGCAACTATTCCATATCGGGTCTGAATCTCCTAATTGGTTCAGTCGTGTTCTTCGTTTTCGTAATGGATGTCCATTTGATGAGAAAAAAAAGGAAACTGAAGAGAAAGCCAATAAGCAAGAAATAAGAGCCCATGTACCCGATTGACCCAATACGAGACATGAAGTGGCATTTAAAAAAAAATGGAGTCACCAAACCGGTCTTGGAACTTTCACGTCTCCGCTAGACACTGCAAAAAAATATACGGGGTGGGCAAGAAGAAATCGAGAAATGTTTAAAACCTCTCAAACTAGATTCCGACGTTATTTAAAAAAATTATAATGGTATCTCTGCAGAACCCTCGACTCGATGCGCGATTGGGAAAGAAAATGTATTGGGAAGAACGTGCCACGAGTGAGTTTTCGGAATTTCTGGTTCAAGGGCTAAATGGGATAGCTTGGACCGTCTCGGATTTTATCGAGTCGAGAACCGCCTGGAGTCGTCCGTGGTGACGGACTCAAACGCGGAATGAATTTCACGTGCTTCGAAACCCGGGGATTGGCAACTCGCCTGTTGATACCCGTGTGCAACGTGCGTCAGAGACTGATCGATCTGCGACGAGTTTCTCCTTCAGAAACCATCCGAGGAAAAATTTCAAATTTATTTATTTATTTTTTAAACGATGTCTTGCGGTCGGATGAACGCCACTTGCTTTCTCTCTGAACACTTTTCCGTGGAACGCTGGGGCGAGACGAGAGGAAAATCCCGGACAAAATCTGGATATGGAAGCGAATGCCCGACCTCGTCTATAAAAGGCTCTCGTTAATTTCGCCGACAACCATGAAAACACGGCATGGGTCATGGAGTTGCTGACGTGAGTGGAAAGCTGAATCATATTGTTGTAGAGACGCCTCTCCAATTTTGGGTAACCCTTGAGAATATGCGCTAAGAAGTCTTGACAGATCTCCCAATTTTTTTTTTGGCTCCCTCCCCTTCCCCTCACGTTAATGATGCGCGGAGAGTGCCGGAACGGAGTCGAAGAATCCACGAGGAAGCTCCCGTTCGTTCAAAAATGTGAGTCATCCGAAATTATCAGGATGCAAAGGGAGGTTACTGGGTGGAGAGGTGGAGGATGGAGGATGGAGAAGAAGGATTCGGAGCATTTCGTAGGGTTTCCGACAGCCGCGCGGCCGAAGGACTCGGACAATGGCGAAGAGATCCATACTTTCATTCGCCCTTGCGAAACGTCATGTTCGCGTGGACGCGGAGAGAATTTAAAGCTATGAAAAGGACTGAACTATAAAAAAAAAAGAATCTCTGACGAACATGCACGAACGCGGTGTGTGCGCTTCGCCTCTCTCTCGAATCGGTCAAAATCGGATTCTTCGAGCTCGGGGCGCCGATCTCGTCGTGGAACGGAGTCCCTGCCTCTTCGCGCTGAGTTCGACCGAGGGTTGCCGGCAAGAACTCGGTGGACGTGCCGAGAGGAATCTTACAAGACCGAGATGATGGAGATTGGTCGCCCTGATCGCCAGGATATTTTGGCCCTGATTTCATCAAGGACCTAAATCTCCCGAGACAATCCGTTTCCGTCGCTCATGGCTGGACCCTGACGATCCTCACTAAGTCATATATATAGAAGAGGCACTCGTCCTCCTGAGGATGTTGAAATCCCTTGGAACCTTCCCCCCTCCTTCTCCCTCTCCCCCTCGCCCTACCTTTTCATTGCGTCACTATCTCCGATAAGTCATTGTTTGTCGTCCATATATTTAGAGCAGCGTTCGATCGGTATGTCGGTGATTACGATGCGTCACGTAACCTGTTTGCTCCGCGATTCCGAACTCCCACTCGAGTAAGTAAAAGAAAAAAAAAAGGAGAGATTACCTTTGTGTGTCATCCCATCGCTCGAACGTGCCCGTGATGGCCGCGCGCGAGAATCATGTTCGACGGTGAAAGTGGCCTGTGTTCCACGCTCGTAAGGCTCTGAGCCGGGACGATCGGTGCGATACGGATGTGAACTCGCGTCGACTTTCTGCTGTCATGTTCTGGTCGTCGCTGCCATACACCAGGCCTAGGCCTAGAGTTGGGCCGAGACTCTGCTGGAGATGAAAGGTGAGCGAATTTCTAGGTCTTTATCCTAACGTTAACGATTGATATAAACGAAAACTTGCGCTCTGCTCGACGTTCTCAAGTCGAATCAAGGTCGAAATTAGACAGGGAATCACAATCCAGGCCATATGGAGGTAGCTTAGGGTATAACCTCTCGTCCATATACTAGAATGGACTAAATAATTGCCAAACTTTGCACCGTACCCCAGTTTTGCGCCTTGCAACTGGAGGGGTACTACGCTTACTCTCCATAATCAGACATATAGGTGTAACCAGTGCTGAATCGTGGTATTTTATAGTTTTTTTTTTGGCAGTTGTGGTTTTCACTGATTATTTATTTGTTGTACTCATTTCTCTTAGGTTCACACCCATTTCATGGGTTCATGGTAGTTCCTGTTGCACTATGATGTTATGTATGTTCCTGTTCAGATGTCAGTTTGAGGTCTCTATCTCTGAGGTCTGATGTCTGACAAATGAAGCTCTAATACTGACTCAAAGCAGTCATGGTGCTAAGCACCATCACAATGTTGAACATTCAACTATAAATCTCATGAAAAGAAAGGGCATAAATTAAGTGTAGCATAATTATTACATTGCAGATGATATAATAGAAGCATGGGACAACCTAGGAGTGCATGGAATATAACATCCTTGTATATCAGCATTAGAGGCAACTCGAGTAGATGATGCTACAATCCATAGTGGTTAATGTGTCCCATTTTTTCTCAACTAAAGATTCATTGGTTATAGAAAGCAGAAGGGGGAAATGACCCATCCATCTGTAGTACATCAGTCTGTCAAGACTTTTGCAAGAGTTGTCATGTATTGTATACAAAATTGAATATATAGAAAATTATCACAATATGAAACTCTGCAATAGCTGCATAGAATTCCCTGTCATGAAAGGGAAAAAGAGATTGTAGTGTCCACTCCAGAAGCATTGGGGATTTCAGTTTTTTTTTTGGAATGGGATATTTTCCTTGGAGAGCAGGATGTAGTCGGGTCTGTGCAAGGTCATACATAATTCCTAGAGGGATGCCTTTTTCAGTGCAATGTGAATCAGTCATATGATTCTGTATTTAATTTGGTGGTATATTGTTCAGAAAATGTTCATACCACATTTATGAAGTCTATATTAGTCAGTTAGAACTATTTTCCTATAGGTCAAGTTACAGTTTTATGAACTAGTGATGGTTCTATTTTTACTCAAGTCCTAATCTGCATGCACAGCATTTCTATCCAGGTGTTTTTAACACCAAATGGAGAATGAGGCACATGTTAAATTCTAATTCAATTCATACATCAACGATGTGGCAGTAGCTCCAATCTTATTTGTGCCTAAGTTGACTCCATGTTTTGTCTGATCAGAGTAAGGCATGCCAACTTCATATACACAGTCATCTGATGGGGATATATTTTCTTTTGCTTATTTACATCATCAGAGAAGTTGATTTGATACCATCAATTCGGTGCCATAGAAACCATTATTTTTCATTTTTTT